AATTAATAATTATTAATTTATCAATAGATTAATAACTCTCTAAATTAATAAATTTTTCCAGTCCTGACATTATTAATTTAAAGAGTTTTTACTGTAGTAGAACAACAGAAATCTCACACACAATAACCTATTATTTTATTTAAAAAGACTGCAGATTCCTTGTTATAGTAGTCTTGGAAATGATTTTTGGCTGGAGATTCCTTCAAATGCAGTCATGGTTGTTGCTACTGTCTTTTTGGTAGATTCCTTTCAGTATGTCCTTTTGCCATATTCCTTGTAGTCTTGAAATTATAAATTTTGGCTTCTTTGTCTTTGTTTTGGATTACCGTTACATGTTTCTCTCTATCTACAATTCTAAAATACTTGTCTTTAACCTTTTTAAGTGTCTTGAATAACTTAAACCTTCAATTTTTTGAAAACTCCTAAAACTTAAAATTATAATTGTCCCATAATATATTTTGAACAGTCAAATATGCCGTAGCAATTAATCATCTTCATTGCTTTGAAAATACTTGCTAAATGAGACCTTTATCTTCAAGCTCTAAATGCATTGTTAAACTGACCTCTTCTAGCTTTTCTTGCCATTCTTTTCAGGTGGTAGCAGCTATAATTGTCACTATTTTTTGTTTTCTGCTAAAACAAAGCTTGATGTTGTGATTTTGTCCCATATCTCAATTGAGACAATTTTATCCATTCATCAATTTTTTTCTTTCTTGACCAAAGAAGCATCATACTTTTTATCCACCATTTAACTCGTATTGATCTGGTTAAGTACTAAATTTCTACTTCATTAGTGTACCTTACCGAATCATAATCTCATGACATAAGTTATTATTTGGCCGACCTTAACGGATATGAATCGAAATTCAAAATAATCTTATGAGGAAGCAATGTCGTAGTGGCTCCAAAATCACCAAACCACTTCATGAACCTTTTTGGAAATTCCTTATTTGATTAAGAAAAACCAAGAATGATGATAAGGTTAAATGTAGAAAGTATTGTACCAAGAATCTATATAATCATGAGTACGAGCTGTGAATTGTCCGGAAAAGTCTTAGATTTATAAAGGACTAGAGGCCAATCTTGAACAATAAGAACTAAGAATTTTTGCTTTAGAAAATAAGGTCCCTTGACCTTAGGAATCTTCATGATGATGGATTTCTATAGTTTTTGTATCCATTAAAATAGATTCGTAAAATTCTCTTTCCTTGCAAGGATCGTGGGAGATGTCATGAAATGAGGTGAAAATGCTTTTTGAGCTATTTATGTCGAAGTTTTTCCATTCATTATCAGTAATGACCGATTGACCATACCTATCAAGAAAAACCTGAGTTCATTCTCATACTTATAATTGAAAAACAATGGGCAAAACTCTACTAAAGAAATAGCTCAAAATATATTTCCACCTCAAATTCATAACACCCCTCACGATCCTTACAAAAAGACAGAATTTTACGCATTTATTATAGTAAATACACACTCAATAGAAATCAATCATCATAAAGATTCATAAGGTTAGGAAACTTATTTTCCAAAGCAAAAATTCTTAAAAGTTCTTTTCGTTTAAGATTGGAATCAAGACTTATATCAATTCAAGACTTTTTCTAAACAATTATTTCTTCTAACTTATAATTATTATAATTATATAGATGCATGATACAATACTTTCTACCTCTGATCTTATGAAGATTTTTGGTTTTTATAGTTCATAAGGAAATCTCCCCAAGGAATATCTATTCATATCCTATGTGACCAGCCAAGGAATAACTTGAATCATGTTATGAGGTTATGATTCAGTAAAGTGTTCTAGTGAAGTAAATAGTCAATACTTGGCCATATCAACGCAAGCTAAATGGAGGACAAAATTTGATTTGTCTTTGGTCAAGAAAAATAAAATTGATGAATGGATAAAGTCCCAATTGTGATATAGAATAAAACCACAAAATAAAGCTTTGCTCTTAGCAAATAAAACAAAAAAAAAATGACAATTATTGTAAATAAGAGTATCTTAGGAGATTTGATATTATTTTTTAATCTTTCCTTATTTCCTTTATTTTTGTTTATTTTCATAGTTACCTGTTTTTAGGACACATGTATCTCTATAATAGGATAAGAGAAGAATGTAATTAATAAGAAACAAATTAATAGAATCCTCTCTTTCAACTTGGTATCAAAGCTCCCGATCTTGGGAGGTCCATTTCTACTACCCTAAAATCAAAAAAATCAGAGTTGTTGTCATCCTCTCCACTGCTAGCACAAATCCTATTTCACAATATGTTTGTATAGACCATTTGTTTGCTCAACATCAAAGTTTCATTATTGTCATTGATTCAATAGATATCCCAACTTTAGTCCAAGAAGCTATGAGAGGAGCACTGGATTCAAACTATGAAATAAAAAGTGAAGTCATTGGTTTTAAAAACTCAATATGGGAGATTGTAGATAGAACCAAAGACAAGAAAGTTATTGGGTATAGATGGATATTCATAGTGAAGCATAGAGCTGATGGGACAATAGACAAATACAAAGAAAAATTGATAGCAAAAGGGTACACATAGACTTATGGGATAGATTATGAGAACCTTTGCATCGATGACAAAGATGAATACAGTACGGGTTATACTTTCTCTTGCAGTTCATTTTGGTTGGGACTTGCAACAGTTTGATTAAAAACCCCTTCTTGCATGGAGATTTTGAAGATGTTTACATGGAAATTTCCCTAGGATTTGGAGCATGGTTTGGGAGATTTACCAAGACAATGATTTCCTTGGGATACAAATAGAGCCAACATGATCATACTTTGTTCTTAAAACACTCCCCTAATGGAAATCTCACAATACTTTTAGTCTACCTAGACTACATGATCATTGTAGGTGATGATGAAGAAGAAAAATAGACCCTAAAGAAAAAGTTGGCAACAAAGTTTGAGATGAAAGACTAGGGGAAGCTTAAGAAGGGCATATTTATCTCTCCAAGAAAATATGACCTTGACCTTCTTAACAAAATAGGAAAGTTGGGATGTAGTATCTTAGAAGTTCTAATTGAAGAGAATCACAAAATAGGACATGAAGAAAGTCTACAAGTGGATAAGTATCAATATCAGAAATTGGTAGGGAAACTAATTTACCTATCACACACTAAACCAGACTTTGCTAATGTTATGAATGTAGTTAGTCAATTCATGCATGACCCCCGGGAAAGGCATATGCAGGAAGTTAACAAGATCATTCAGTACTTGAAGTCAAGTCCAAGGAAATGATTACTATTTAGAAGAAGAGACACCATGCCTTTGGAGATTTATACTGATGCAAATTATGCCAGGTCAGTCACAGGTGATCTACTTCTAGATGTTCTTTGGGGGGTGAATTTGGTGACTTGGAGGAATAAGAAATAGAACGTAGTTGCTCAATCTAGTGTAGAAGATGGATTCAGGGTCTTGACACACGACATATATGAAGAGCTATGGATGAAAATTATTCTTGATGACCTTAGAATTAAAATAGAGTTACCTATGAAGCTATTTTGCGACAAGTCAACCATCAACATTACTCACAATCCAGTTCAACATGACAAGACCAAGCATATTGTAATATACAGACAATTCATCTAAGATAAGTTAGACAGTGATCTTATTGTCACAACTCACTTCCCTATAGGACTCCAATTGACAGATGTACTTACTAAGGGCCTTCCTACTAGTAGATTTCAAGAGCTAATAAACAAGTTGGGAATGATTGATATTCATTTACCAACTTGAGAGAAAGTGTTGTAAATAGAAGTATCTTAGGAGATTTGATATTATTTTATTCTTATTTCCTTTATTTTTGTTTATTTTCATAGTTACCTGTTTTAGAGACAAATGTATCTCTATAATAGAGTAAGAGAAAAATGTAATTAGTAGGAAACAAATTAATTGAATCCTTTCTTTCAACTACAACTCTAGATGTTGCCACCTTAGAGGAGAGCGAAAAGAAGAGTTAAAGGAAGTCAATTCAACTCAATCTTTGGAACTTGAAAATGAAAAAGTTTCCACAGGTCCTAATAATTATTTGCCAAACAATGAAGATAATTGCTACAATATATTTAACCGAGTAAAATACATTACAAGACAAATTTATTTTCAATTTTAAAAAAATAAAAAAATAAAAAACTTTTCTAAATTAAAGGTGGAAGTCATTTAAGACAAGATTAAAGATGAGCATTTTAGATTTGTAGATAGAGACGTAACGAGACAATTCAAAACAAATATGAAGCCAAAATTTCTATCAAGACCGCAAGGAATCTATCAAAAGAACAAACAACAAAGAATCTACCAAAAAGGCAAAGTAGCAATACCCATGATGTATTTGTAGGAATCTACAACCATGAAGTCAGAAAAATTACTTCCAAGATTGTTACAACAAGGAATCTGCAGTTATTTTAAATATAACAATAACTTTTTGTGTGGAAGTATGTTGTTGTAATATAAATGTATCTAGTTCTCTGATTGTGGGACTTAAATTTTCAGTTTTGATATATTCATGTTCCCATAATTGCTTGTGAGGATTGTAGTCTCTCTTGTGTATTGTTGTAATTCATTCTTATATTCAAGTGTTGTGTGTATGTGTGTGTATAAAGACGTAGGGCCAATCCAGCTGAAAAGTTGATCCTTTTATAAGTTCAAAGAAATTTCTCATACAGTTTATCGAAAAAAACTAAAGAAAAAACAGACACCTGACCCAGATTATCATATATATATAACCTCTTGCTACATCTCATGTTCTCACAGTGCGTTTTCTCTCCGTGCGTAATCTTTATTTCGTCAATTTAAAAACTCATGAACTTTAAACAATCGGAAGAGAAACAATAACAAGTTAGTATTTTGAAGCCATCACAAATTTTCCATCTAAAATTGCATATTCTTTCTTTCTTCACAGTTTTGGACAAGTTGAAATGTTTAAACACAAAAAAACACGTGGAATTAGAATGAACATCTCGGAAGAGAAACAATAACAAGTTAGTATGTTGAAGCCATCACAAATTTTCCATCTAAAATTGCATATTCTTTCTTTCTTCACAGTTTTGGACAAGTTGAAATGTTTAAACACAAAAAAACACGTGGAATTAGAATGAACTCACAACAATGATTGAGAAAACTTTTCGTACTTACTATACATGACAAGCACTTAATCTGTAGTATTCACAATGTCTATACTTATATTCTTCAATGCCTCTGTTGCTGACTTCATCCACGACATAAACCTTTTAATCAAGTGAAAGTCGTTTCATCGAATACCATCACCTAATCAAAACAAATAGCCAAATACATAACAAATCTATCTTGATCAATTAAACTCTAGATTTTAGAAGTGTTTAGTTCATCAATTTGAATACACTTTGCAAATAAAAATAGGACGGTCCAACGCACCAGGCTCCCAAATAGGTTTTTGAGAAAGGTTAATATCTGTAGTTTTAACCACACAAGTAGAGATGTTGTATCTGGGACTTTAACCTGTTACCTAAAGTCTATGTTGGTATTTTTCAAAAAACCAAACCAAACCACTTTATGAGAATGGTTTAGTTAAGTAAATAATTTTTATAAAGTGATTTGGTTCATGTTTTCTCCAAACAATTTGAGTTTTTGGCACACCCCTAATTAAATATAACCATTTATTTATGACTTAAATATGTTTATGGCTACTAAAATTCGATATTCTTTTGTTTTAGTCTTTACATTTATAAACTTTTCAAACCAATCCCTTAAAGCTTTTTTCCTTCCTCATCCTTCATTATGCGTCTGTCATGAATCCAATGTTATACATGGACACACTAATGCTTAGCTGGACAAAATGTAAAAGAGAAATTGTATTTTGCACAATATTTTTATACAAAATATTGTAATAGGAACAGAAGAGAGAAAAGTGAGAGAACATTGTTGATGTACTGGAGATAGAAAAAGAAAGTTGCAGTGTTGTAGAAATGGTTATAGAAAAATGGTGTACAGATAATAGAACTCGATATTTAAATTCTTACATAAAATGCAGAATTTTGAGGGGCATATTGTATGGAAAACAATCTACAATTCATTCATTAATGGTTTCCTTAGGGTTCTCGGGACAGGAAGTTTTGTAGATTGACAGTTCTATTAGTTGCCATGTAACATGCTGACTCAACTTTCTATTAGGCACACCAGATTTGGAGCAAGTTAATTTCAGTGTGTCCATGTATCAAAATGCAAGTAATGGAAGGACAACTTAGAAAGGCGGGAAATTTAAAGGGACTGATTGAAAATTTTAATATGCAAAGGCTAAAAACTTCAAATTTTAGAGGAATTAAAAAGATGTTTAATAGTACATACATTTTAATACATACATGAACATACACATGCATATGAAGCCATGTATAATATGTCACAGTCACACACATACAAGGCCTGAAGGCATGCTGGGTGAAAGCATGTTAGCTCAAATAATGAGAATCATCCTCAAACAATTTTCAACTAAAATATGTGGCACATTAGCAAACTTTACATACATGTCAAAAAACCAATAGTGATTACTAAACATGACACAAAAGACATGCACTCCTACCATATGGAAAGGATAAACTGCCCTATGCGTCAATTATTAGCAAACTTTGGAAGTTTTGCTCGGTCCTTTTTATAAGAGAACTAATCTAGAATGTCTCATGAGTCAATCATTTTTTCACAAAAATATCTTTAACTATGACTCATTTTTTTAAGTTCAATTAGTAGTAAGTGAAATACATTAATGTCTTAAACTCTTCAGGAGTTTAACTTTGTCTCGTATGAAGAGCATTTTGTGATTCTTACTTTGACTCTTCACGTGTATAGCCAATAAAAATCAAAGCAATAAATATCTTAATGATGAGAGAGATTAAAAGATATAAAGCTAATAAAAAATATTTAAAAAAGAATAAGAGTATGTTTTAATAATGTTAGGGATAATTTTGAAAAAACTTAAATTTATGAAAAATTTAATGTTATTAACTAAATTAACTAATTTTCTTAATTCCAGTATATTAGTTAATAGGGACTTATAAAAAGGACCCAAGGGAAGGGAGTACTTAAATAACACTTTGTCACTAAATTAACTAATTATGTAATTTCTTTTCACTTTCTTCTCTGAACCAAACATACCATTAGTGTGGGGAGGGGGTATGAGATGTTCAGCAAGACATTTTAGAATGAGGGTTAAAGTAATGATTAGTCATTACTAAAGTAGGTAGAAGAGAATAAAAATATTCGTTCTATTTTACTAGGCCAAGCGAAAGTTACAGAAGTCCATATTTTTTCCCTAATCTGTATCTTAGTTTTAAAGCGAAGCTTGTCATTTTATTACAATGTTGTTATGGCTCATGCTTGAAATAATTTTAATAAACAAACTAAAGAAAATACGATGTTAATTTCCTTCATGATAAATCATATATGGAATATTTTCTTTGTTACCAAGCATATTGTTAGATTTTACTCCCATCTTGTTCTTCCTATTGAGATGTGTAAAATACAGTGCAAATGCATTACATGCTATAGGGACTGGTTTGCAAGTTTGCACCAATATTGTTTACTGGTTAGATGCAAACTAGACATGGCTGTATAGCCCAGTTTTCACTTCTCAGAACTGAATTTGACATATCTCATTTCTGTATCATTGCTAATGAAGTAAAAATCATTTTCCTGAGAGTATTAAGAAAATACTAAGTATTACCTTTCCACAAACTGGACAGTTGTCACTTCTCTCCATCCACTCATAAATGCAACCAAGGTGAAAATGATGAGAGCAATTGGTCATTATCTTTGGATTCTCTTTAGTGTATTCTGCAAGCAAGAATATTTGTAGAAAAGTAAGAATCTCCAAACATCCTGTTCATTTATTAGTGTTTCCCAGTACCAACAACAACAAGTTAATAGCAGTAACTATCAGACTTTCTCCTCTGTACCCTTATCTATTTATAACTATTTTACACACTTATCAAGAAAGAGATAGAGAAATAATGGCGTAGAAAATGTCAGAAAAATAAGAAAGAAAAATTAATTGAAAGAGGTAACAGATATAAGGCACAAACTTTTCCAAAAACTTCTAGGAGAAAATGGTAGGGAAGAAAATCAAAATAAGTTTTTCCATAAGTCAAACTAACTTATGCATAAGTTAAAAATAAGATTTTGGAGAAACTAATAGAAGATAATTTCTACAAATTAGCTTTACATAAGCTAATTTTAGCTTATGGAAAAACTTACTTCATTTTTTCTTCCTATTTTTCTTTCCTAAAAATACTTTTGGAGAAGTTTACCCAAATAGACAAAAAAGGGCATATTATAATATTATAAATGATTTCAATATAAAAGAAATATTAATTATATTTCTTATTCTGTGGACCATTGACATTAGTTACATTTCTTGGTTGGTTTACCATCACATTACAAAAAGGAACAACAGGAGCATTCTTATCTAGCTTCAAGATCAACTAATGAAACCATCGCAAGAAGCACATTTTCTTATCATTAATTAAATATCTAGCTTTTGGTTTTGCTTCTTGATCATTTAAGGGACAGGAGCCACAAGTTTTAACGTAAAAGGAAACTGATACACCATAGAGTCTCCCAACAACATCTATGTTCTACAATAAGTATATAAAATAAAAATAAAACATCCAAAGTTCTATGTACAAGTCAAGATGGGTCATTAAGCATATTACAGAAACAGATTAATATTTCGTGAAATTTTAAGTGTTAGTACCAATGAGTCTTCTACCAAAAATTTAATATTACTACGATAAATGTATATATCTCTACCTTCAAGACAAGTTGGACAGACATCCTCGTCTTCTGATGATGCATAGATCAGGCCAGCTCCAGCTGAATATTTTGTTGATGAAATTCTTAGGGAGGACTTAGAATGGAATTCCTTTGATCCAGCTTCACGGGCACTTCCATTCCACTTGTCTCCTGAATTTAAAGACTCTGGATCCACATCTACATCATTTCTTAGAGGTTCTGTTTCCTCATTAGAATGACTTGAACCCTTCTCCCGCCTTGAAACTAGTCCATCACGTTGCGAGCGAAAATATCTGGGTTCTACATCATACGGTAATGGCCTTGGAGGAGAACGGTACATGTCAGATAGAGAATTATCAAGTGACGCAGAAGAATTCATAGATGCTGCCCCCTGAATAGATGAAGGGATTGAGTGTGCATCCCCTCGACGGAATATTGATGCATACTGAAATTTGAGGTAGATAGGAAAAATTGGTTATATTTTTTTACTATAAAGTATAGCTCTCATCAATGTCAAGACACATCATCAACAAAAATTATTTTTCAAGTTGCAGTCTGACAAATATTAATGTATATGGCAAACAATACAGTGGATTTACCACAAAAAAATTAAATAGTCAGATTAACAGATGCAGAAAATATTACCTAAACCAAGTAACAAGTGATTAAAAATTGCTCGTATTTGATTTTATTTGTGGCTTATTTAGGACAAACAAGCAACCACTAGAGCATCAGATGGTATACTTGTAACACCCAAAACTGACTTAGAGGTAACAAAAGTTCCAAAGTCATTTCTAACACTGATAGCACTCACGATTTCTTTATGGATATATTATGTAGCACATCACCAATTTTAAACTTAGTGTTAACTTAGGATCCAATAGCAAGGTATAGGACTTGAGCCCCACATTGGAAATATGGGAAACCAGTATGGGGTCTATAAGGCTTTGGCTCTCTAACTACAATGACTAGTTATTGTGGTGGGGTTCTCCCAAGGTTCTTATAAACTGGTATTAGAGTTTTCCACCATGTTTCTCATCTATGAATGCACATGTGGTTGGTGATGCCAACATTGCAGTGTTCACATGAGAGTCTAAAAATTGAGTGTCTAAAAATTGCACATTGAGTGTCTAAAAATTGCATGTGCACATTGAGTGTCTAAAAATTGCAGTGTTCCCACATTGGAAGTATGCGATTCTAGTATGGAGTTTATAAGGTCTTAAGATCCCCAGCTACAACGATTAGCTTTTGTGACGTAGTTATCTCAAGATTCTTAATAGACACATTTCAAGACTTGGTTTGAGACATCATAACACCAAAGAAAAGGCTAATATCAGAATCCCCAACAAATAGCTGTTCACATTTATATATACAAAACAAAGGAAAAATGCAATAGTACACCAATGCTAACAAAAACCAGACACATTGGACCCCAAAATGCTAGAGGTTGGACCACCTCACAAGTATGTTATTCAGGGCAAAAACAATTCACTAAGGCATGGGAAAAAAATGAAAGATACAAAATTGAAGTTATGGAGTATGGACAGCAACATATAACACAAGGCACAGCATTACAAAAGTAAACAGGAACGTACCACATTCAAAAGGTTCTGTGCCAAGCAACTGAGACACACGCAGTTCCTATATACGGTACTATTTGGATTTACATAATCTTCAAAATCATCAAAACTCATACAACAGCAAACAGAACCCATTGTTCCAGCTTCTCAAACTTTCTTTAGCTTAAACTGATCACCAAAACCCAGATGGTCTTACATGCAAGCTTTGAGCCTCCAACAACAACACACTAACTGTTTTCATTTAAAAAAGAAATCGGAGAGAGGATTCTAAGCTTGCAGAAGTGTCACTGCCTCCACAAACCAGTACCCTCCCTCTTCAGTTCACATAACCCCTGTAATATGGATAAGCACTGCTTCTCTTGCTCACCTGCAAATTATACCAAAAATAGCATTATAGAAAAACAAAAACAACATTGAAGAACATGTGAAGTTTGTAGACGTTATCATTCTTGTCATGCTATTATTTGACCAATTAAAATAACTAAGCATTAATCAGCTAGACAAGAAATTATGTGTACGTGTATTATTTAGACCAAATCCTGTTATCCTATAGTATTAAATGACAAAATAAAATTAGGAGCCACATAAATATTATATATTTCAAAGTAATGATTGATCAGTTTTCTTGATTCGGTGCACATGAATATCTGACCAATGCACCTAATCCTCATGCTCCAAAGCGACACATGCACAATTCAGAATGACAAAATCAGGACTATAACATAAGATCAACACAGGAGTATGATAAAACATAAAATAACTAATATAAAATTCAAAGAAGAATATGACAAATTTGATTATTCAAATGGCTAAGCTTTTTAGTTTTTAGTCATTTGCCACTCACCGACAACTTCACTAGCACCGTACTAAGTTCAAATTTAGGAAGAAAAAAAAATTATTTTCATTAATTTCAAGCTATGCCAATGAATCAACCAACAACACGAACATCATTACTTTTTTTTTTCTAGATGAATAAGCATGATGACAATTTAAGAGCATTGGTAAAAAGACATAAATCACACCCGACTTACGTGTGCAAACAATGAAATTTTCCATCAAAAAAGAAAGGATCGAGCCAGAAACATTCTTAATTTCGTGAAAAGGAAGAGACCCACTTTCGATTATCAAACTAAGAAGCAACCAGAAGGATCAAAACGATAATTGGGAGCTGAAAAACGAAGTGGGTAAGAGGAGAAAGAGAGAAAGGTTGAATTTTTATTTTTTTTTCAGGCAAAAAAAAAAGTAATAGCTTGAGAGAGGAACCTGAAACTGAGAAAGTGGGTAGAGTAGATAGATGTTAGGGATGTCATAAGCAGAGAGATAGGAGTGGAAATTTTGGATTTTTCGGCGATAATTGCTATGAAACTGCGAAATTAAAAACAACCTCTTTCACTACTCTCTTTCCC